GTCTGTTTGTTTTAAATTGCAAGGAGGACATTTTTTGCTTGCTGTACAATATTTTGGCTTTTGAAAATCCACCAATGCAGCCTTGATAGCTTTTAATTCAATTCCTAGTACAGAAGTATGACTGCTCTGAATTCATTGTATGGTAAACAGCTTTACTATGAGATGAACCATCAGTAAAAAATTAGTTAATGCTCCACATTAACATTAGTTAATGTGCCTCGTACAACTAAGTTCCCCTGAATATTTACTTATTTCAATTTGCCAATTTAAACCAGTGAAATAAGGCTTATTTTCTAACTTTATTTGTCCTTGGGTGTGGACAGTAAATGACATTAGATATCCCCCCAAGCACATCAATTTCACCTTCCTCAATTCTAAGCTCCAAGGGCCCTTTCTTTTTTTTTTTTAATAAAACTTTATTGTTCAGATTATTACAGTTGTTCCCCCCCTTTCCCCCCCCATAGCTCCCTTCCACCCAGTTCCCACCCCACCATCAACGGAGCCGTCTGGGCAGCTCGCGCGGTTCCGCAGGCTTCCCAGGGGCCGTCGCAGCCTTGCAGGGGGCGCCGTATCCCATGTTGGGGGTGAAGGTGTGAGACAGAAGCTCCTCTCACTGTCTCTCCTGCTGCTCCCTTGCGTATCGTCGATGCTGGAAGTTTCTGAGAGCAGTCTGCAGGTGTTGGCCGTCATACTTTAACTGGTCAACTCGAAGTTTGGCATTCTGTCTTTCGTTGGGAGGTTCCTTGCTGGACAAAATCTCCAGATACATAAATATCTGGTATGCTTGCTTGGATTTCGTTTTCTACTAAGTGCACAGACTGCTTGTCTGCCATCTCCCGGCATCCCATGTGAGACTGGATCTGGTGGACCTGCTTGTGCCTTTGCTGGGTCCGGCTCTGGGTTCCTCCAAACCTGATTCTGCTTTTTGAGTGTGTCCCTTATGGATGCGAGGAGTTGAAATCTGCAGTTTGTTGGGTTAGGCTGCGAAAGCGCAGGTGGTTCCTTTTGTGCCACTGGCACAGCTTGGGTGGGGATGTAAATTGAGTAGGGCGGGGTCTCAGGGAACCACCAGGGCGGAGCAAACAGCAATGAATGGTGTCTCCTCGGCTCCTCTCCTATCCACAACTCCTCGTCCCCGAGTGCCTGTGAGCAGCTCCGTGAGAAAGCCACCCTCGTCTCCGACCCGCTGCATGGCCGTCCCGCCTCTCCCCATAGGGGTCTGGGACCTCAGAATCCCGCCCCAAACAAGCTCAGTGGATTCGAGAACTTGTATCCCCTTCCGATTGAAAAAAACCGCGCATCCAATTGCAGCCCGCCTGGCGCGTGACTCCGCACCTCTGTTCTTGGCGCCTCTGCACCTTCTACTCATTCTCAATGTGCTTCTTCCTTTCCTTTCAGTTGTAGAACTTCCACTGGGCCAGCTTTCCCATGGTTCTGGATGACAGCTGTTTGCCTTATAGTTGGTAGTTTCAGTGTTGTTGTGGGAGGCAGCACGCCCAGGTCTGTACCTTATCCCGCCATCTTGGTTCTCCTCCAAGGGCCCTTTCTTTACCTCGATAACTTGTTTCCAGAGTCCATTTATTTTGCAAATTATTTCTACCTCAATGATTTTCCAAATAAATGTTCTGTTATAGTCTGAGGCTTGGCTCTGAACGTTTTCTTAGCCAGGCTTAAGTACCAAAGTTGCCAAACCCAGGGCAGTCTGACCCCACGGGACTAACACCTGGTGCCCTTCTCACTGCCCCCAACACCTTCTCTTCCTTCAGCACATTTCTATTCTTTAGAACTTATTTGTCAAATACAAAATGTCGAATGAAGAAAACATTTTTGAAGATTAAAATGACCTTTTCTCGGGCATTGTTACTTAAGATTGTAAAGAACTTCAGGGATACTTTCTCGCCTGGAGAGTGCCATTACCTTGTTGACAATGTTTCATAAATCAGAACTCTTTGGTTTTAAAGGTTAAATTAACAGCTACATTTTTGAGAGATGACCAGGGTCTACATAAATTACTTTAAGGAAAAGATGAATTATTTATACATTTATGATTAATTGATTCTTTAATAATTTTTATCTAGGAAAGGCTTATAAGCCATTTGAGTCTTTGTATTTGAACAAAGATTCATTTGTAGGTTTTCCAGTATCATGTCATTTCTTTTTTCTCCAGTATTACCGAGATATAATTGACACATAACATTGTATTTGTTTAAGGTGCACAAACGCAATGATTTGATATATGTATATATTGCAAAATGACTACCACAATGTTTAGTTAGCACCCGTCTCCTCAGATAGTTACAGATATATATTTTTTTTCTTGTGCGGTGACCTTTCAAGATCTCTCCTAGCCAATTTCCAATAGCACAGCATCGTTAGCTACAGTCAGCATGCTGCGTATTACATCTCCGTTACATGCTGGTAGCTACCAATCTGCTCTCGGTTTCTATGAGTTTGTGTGTGTGTTTTTATTCGATGATAAGTGCAATCATACAGTATTTGTCTTACGCTGACATTTCACTTAAAGCTTTTTTTTTTGAGTACTCTATTATTTCACAATAAAAATTGATGAGCAATATTATTAAACACGCGGTTTCCCTTCACAAGAGCACTGATTCTCCCCGAGACCACATGACGATTTGTAATGCTGGTACTGGAGAAACATGCTGAATTGGCTGCTCTCAAGATCCTGACTTCACTGAACCAGCTTCCATTTCTGCCTGGGCTGCAAACTTCTCTGGCTGAGAACTGCAAGGGAAAACAATTTCATCTCAACAGAGGAGAAACCTTAACTTTAGGAACATAAACCAATGCAGGAAAAAAAAAATGGCTTTCTGAAAAGAATATACTTTTGACAAGAAATCTATAAAAATCTGAACTCATGACCTCAAATTTAATAAAGCATACTGACTTCAAGATACATCACAGTCACTCACTTCTAGTCTAGATACAAACCTCTAAACCAGCCGTGGGCAAACTATGGCCTGCGGTCCGGATCCGGCCCGTTTGAAATGAATAAAATTAAAAAAAAAAAAAAAAGACCGTACCCTTTTATGTAATGATGTTTACTTTGAATTTATATTAGTTCACACAAACACTCCATCCATGCTTTTGTTCCGGCCCTCCGTCCAGTTTAAGAACCGACCGTGGCCCTCAAGTCAAAAAGTTTGCCCACCCCTGCTCTAAGCTCTTCAACTGAGACCCTTATATAGCAAATGCTTTAGAGCAGTGGTTCTCAACCTTCCTAATGCCGCGACCCTTTAATACAGTTCCTCATGTTGTGGTGACCCCCCAACCATAAAATTATTTTCGTTGCTACTTCATAACTGTAATTTTGCTACTGTAAACAATATGAATTATATATGTGTTTTCCGATGGTCTTTGGCAACCCCTGTGAAAGGGTCGTTTGACCCCCAAAGGGGCCTCGTCACACAGGTTGAGAACCGCTGCTTTAGAGGCTTGAAAGAGTATCAGAAAGATCTTCCAAATTTGTTGTCCTCCTCTGTGGAATACAAAGCACATATTTTAAAACCTGGAATATTAGAGGACTCGTTTAGTATCTTTCTGTTCCTTTGGCTGGAGGCGAGATCAGATTCTACTGGTCTGACGACAGCACGCCCAGCCTCAGGATGAAATCTCTGAAAAGGAGCGTCATCCTTCTCAGGGCCAATGAAGTGCTGATAACCCGTGAGGCACTCACGGCCTGCACACTCGGCCTGAATTAATCCACTTCATCCTCACACCGCCGTCACGTGGATGGGTATTGTTATCACTCTCATTATGCACACAGAGGAACAGCAAAGAGGAAGTAATGGAAGAAGCACAGTGGAGCAGGGGCGGCCTGTTACATAAAAAGAAAACAGGAGTGAGCCAGCTGCATAAGCCATGCTGTGGGAAACTATGTGAGGACACAGCACGCGAGGAACGGTGGGCAAAAGCCAGGGCATGGTGACCAGCAGAGAACCTTGACTACCTCTGAAGTTACTGGGATACTTAGTAACAAAGTTGACTGAACTCAGAAGGACCTGGGTTTATATCCCAGTTTTATCCTTAGTTCAGTTATATAACTTTGAACAAGGCCCTAATTCTCAATTTCTTCATATGCAAGTCAGAGAATAAAATTACTACTGCTTTTTAATTTTAATTGTATTTTTCAATTACCGTTTACATTCAATATTATTTTGTATTAGTTTCAGGTGTATAGTATAGTGGTTAGGCAATTCCATACTAAGTGTTCCCCCTTATATTTCCAGTACCCATCTGGCACCTTACATAATTATTACAATATTACTGGCTATATTCCCTATGCTATACTTTATATTCCAGTGATTATTTTGTAACTACTGATCGATACTTCTCAATCCCTTCATCCCTTTCACCAGTGCCCCCCATCCCTTCCCCTCTGGCAACCACTAGAGCAGTGATGGCAAACCTTTAGAGCTCAGCGTGTCAGCATTTTGAAAAACCCTAACTTAACTCTGGTGCCGTGTCACATATAGAAATTTTTTGATATTTGCAACCATAGTAAAACAAAGATTTATATTTTTGATATTTATTTTATATATTTAAATGCCATTTAACAAAGAAAAATCAACCGAAAAAATGAGTTCGTGTGTCACCTCTGACATGCGTGTCATAGGTTCGCCATCACTGCACTAGACTGTGTTCTGTTTCTGCGAGTCTGTTTCAATGTTGTTTGTTTGTTTTGTTCTTCATATTCCATATATAAGTGAAATCATATGGTATTTGTCTTTCTCTGTTTGAATTATTTCACTGGGCATAATACCCTCTAGGGGGTCAATGGTTCTCAACCTTGGCTGCACATTAGAATCACCTGGGAATCTTTTTAAAATCCTGATTTCTGGGCCTCATCCTCCGGAAAGTCTGTTTCCTTGTTACTAATGTTGTGGCCCCAGCCCATCACAAAGAAACAGAATTTCCAGAGGATGAGGCCCAGAAATCAGGATTTTAAAAAGATTCCCAGGTGATTCTAATGTGCAGCCAAGGTTGAGAACTACTGCTCTAGGTCCATCCATGTTGTCACAATGGTACGATTTCATTTTTTGTGTGTCTTCTTTATGACTGAGTAATAGGTCATTGCATATATGTACCCCTGATTTTTTAAAAATTCTCTCCTGAGGATATGTTATTTTATTTAGAGAGAGAGAGAGAGAGAGAGAGAGAGAGAGAGAGAGAGAGAAACATCAATGTGAGAGAAACATCAATCGGTTGCCTTTGTGCCCTGAACAGGGTTTGAACCCACAGCCTAGGTATGTGCCCTGATCAGGAGTCAGACCTGCAACCTTCTGGTGCACAGGTTGATGTTCCAACCAACTGAGCCATTGGCCAGGGCTGTACCATATCCTCGCCAGCACTTGTTTGTTGATTCATTGATGATAGCCATTCTGACAGGTGTGAGAGGCTCAGGTAAAAGCCAGGCACCAGGGGAACGCAGAGGGGCCCCTCAAAGGCCTCTGGGCTCCGAAGGCTCCTAGTCGTGCTCGAGGGTGAGCCTTTAGAAGAGATACTGGCCCGGCCCAGCCTTGGGCCGGAGGCTGGAAGAAGGGGCGTCCCTGGGTCTATTCCGTCCAAACACAGTTGAAGGAACACCACCCAGGACCACACAGGGCACTGCCGAAGCTGCCTTTTTTTAATGGGAGCACTGGAATTAGAAAGCCAACGAACTCGGAGGTACCTGGACGACTTGCCACAGGAGATTATTCAGTAATTTTTCCCAAATTGTACTTCAGCCCTATTTACCACAAAGTCGGCCAAACATGACGAATCTGGATAAGCTCACATACTTTTTACCGAGGACGACACCAAATTCTGTGAAAATGGGACCTGAAACCAAATGAACTGCTTCGAAATGAGTTGTATATGATGTTAGTTTGATCGAGCAATTGAATCGATGCCCCCTCCCCTGGGAACTGACCTTGAGGCCACTTCACAATGGACAGCCCACTTGCTTAGACCACATTCCGCTCGCTAGACCATTAGCTCTCCCCTCCGGACTTTCCCAGAATCCGGACCTGCACAGAGAATTCTCCGCCTAGAAAAAGCCCACCTAGAGTCCTTTAAAATCCCTGACTCCCCGTCTTTGGGGGCTGGCGCCATTTTGGGGCTCAGCCCATCTAGTATCAAGATGACCTAATAAATTCATAATTCTTCACCCCTTTTGGCCTCGTGTGTTCCTCCTTCGGCAACCTTAACATGGGACAGGACAGCGCTTTCACATACCGGGAGTTTTAACTGTCTTACATAATTAGACAATGCAGCTAGTTAAATGCCCAACACATCCATCAAAACCCACTAAACCTATTATTTTGTTACAGTGAAATCGATATAATGGACTAATTCAGGCAAGGGAGTGTCCATTGAAGCTGAAAGTCCATTATATAATAAAGTAGGTTTTCTGAATGCGTATGTTAAAAAATTGACAAACTAGTTTACCTTTTTTTAACTTATGTAGACACATTTGTGTAATTAAAATTAAGTATGCATGGAAAGTTTAATTGCACAGAAAAGTTTTCTAAACGTATGACTGTAATTTTAAATTTATACTGAATAGGTCTAGTAAATGTGTGCATTCACCCACTGCTGTGAGTAAACAAATGCGCAGGTCTGGGGCGTGGCTTAGTGCAGGTCACATGGGCAGGCAGGGGTTAAAACTGCTGCAGAAAGGCACCCCCAGGTGACAACACAACCAATTGCCCTCGTGACTCGGTGGGATCACATGCCAATCATTTACTGAACATTATTTACACGCGGTGACTCTTGGTTTTAAATATGTTGTCTATAGTTGTAGATATGTAGTATTTACTGATTCCAGCTAAAATTCTAGTGTTTTTCCCAACATGTGCCTATTCCCTAAAATCTGTTAAAAAATAACCTGTTAATTTAGTTTAAAACAAATCTTGGTAAAATGTGTTTTAAAATGAACATGGTGTTAATTTTCACATGTGACATACAGACTGGAAGTTTTGTCTGTTAAACCCGAAGTCCGTTAAATCGAGGTCTGCAAAATCGAGGGTTTACTGTACTTTGAAACTGTAGTCGATTACCAAGCCTGAGGAAGCCATTGATGATATATTGTCCGGATACTGCAGATGGCCACACATGACTACAAATATAATTTTCTTTGGAAATAGTGGAGTAATTCTCTGGAAACAGAGCTGTGCAAATTTTGTATTTTGGAGAAGAATGTAGTTGCTAAAAATTGCAAGCTTCACCCTGGCCAGTGTTGCTCAGTGGGTTGGGCATTATCCTGGGCACCAAGGAGTTACAGGGTTCAATTCCCAGTCAGGGCAGGTATCTGGGTTTCCGGCTCAATCAATCCAGGAAGCAGGGGATCATGTATCACTTTCAGATTGATATTTCTCTCTCTGTGTCCTTTTCCCTTCCTCTCTCTTTAAAAATCAATAACATTTTTTAAAACTGCAAGCTCCTTGAAGGCAAGAGTCAGCTTTATGCGCCTAATTTTCCCCAGTGCAAGACACACTGTGTGGAACAAATTAAAACCTGAGTGAAGGCATCACCCAGACCCCCTTACAGGCCGATTTGTAGGGAATAGTTATGCTCTAATTTGATGTCCCGCAAACATCTGTTTCAAAGTGGCCGTTCAAATGCAGAGTGGCCAGGAATTGTGCTTTAATTTGGATAGTAAGCTCTCTATAAATTAGAGATAATTGACTTTGCCACTTTAAATTCCGTTGAGGCTTTCTTGGACTCCTTCTGTTCTTGACGTGAAGCTGTGTAAATTAAGACCATTTCAAATGCAAATGCCCTTCTTTTCTATTCACAGGGCTGCCGGCCCAAACTGTCCTCTTTCAGGGAACACTATCCTATGCTCACTGTCCATAAAGCTTAACAGAAACAGAAATGCTGGTTTTGGTTTGCTTCCCAGATCCACGTGTGTGTGTGTGCAGCACATGCTACCTTCAGCTCTGTGCCTGGGTTAGAAGAAATATTTTTTAGACACGAGTGGTTTCCTGTTAAATAGGAGATGATTGCCAACTCGAGTTTCTCGATGACAGTTCCGCCAACGTGAAAGAGGGCAGCCCTCTTTTCATTTTCTATTTATCTAAAGCCCTTCCCCAAATTTACGTTCCCCGTCGAGCCCATCTCCTCCTCGGGATGTCCCACTCGCATGACCCCAGATTCAGCACAGGGTAGCTTTCTCCTCCCTCAGACTCGCAGCTGAGGGAGAATCAACATATTGTTGGAGTCGGTTATGCTGCACTCAGTTGTCTTAACCTGGCTATTTCTCTAAAGGGACATTTCTCTGGAATTCTAGAATGTTTCACTTCTTGACTTCGCAGTCAAGTATCAGTAACTGTTTTCAGCAGCCTGCAGGCCCGAGGCTGTGCACAGGGTCAGAACTGGATGACTTGAGTGAAGAGACTGCTCTGGCAAAATGGAATCTGATTTTGATCAGCATCTGGAAGGCAGACAGTGTGGTTTTAATCTGAAATAGGGAACGCAGTGACATTGCCAGAGAACTTTGTCCATTGTTAGTTCTTTTATTTGGGCTAGCGTGGTACCCAGATTGCGGTCGCAACTTTCTGCCAGAAAACCCTGAGGACTACACTTTGTACTTAGCAACCTGGTTTGGGAGTTTGGCAAATTGATCCATAAATTAACAAAATTGGAAGTATCCAAATGGGTCCTCTGGAAGTTATCTGCCTTTAAGTAGCACGCGTTAAATGCTCTGTGGGTCTTTCCATTTTAATGATATATCTTCAGATACTCACTCACAAGTGGTTTCAGTATATATCCCTTGAATATATCACAGGTTACATAAGAATTTGATGAGTCTGTCATTCCTCAGCATATTCCTTTAATAAGTTCAAAGGATTCTTAGGTTACCTGTGTGATATCAATTACACATTTTTCCAAATTGTCTATGTGAATTCTAACATAATTATGAATCTGACATATGCACATTATCTATAATAATAAAAGCATAATATGCTAATTAGACCAGACAGCTGAATGACCTTCCAGATGTCATTCTGGACATCCCTCCAGATGCAGCCGCAGTGGCAGGGGCTGAAGCAGAGGCAGTTTGGGGCAATCAGACAGGCAGATGAACAGTTAGGGGCAAGCAGGCAGGCAGGTGAGTGTTTAGGGGCAATCAGGCAGGCAGGCGGAGTGTTTAGGGGCAATCAGGCAGGCAGGTGAGTGTTTAGGGGCAATCAGGCAGGCAGAGTGGTTAAGGGTGATCAGGCAACCAGGCAGAGGGGTTATGGGTGATCAGGCAGGCAGGCAGAAGGGTTAGGGCCAATGAGACAGGCTGGGTGATCACAGGCAGGCAGAAGGGTTAGGGCCAATGAGACAGGCAGGCAGAGTGGTTAGGGATGATCAGGTAGGCAGGCAGGTGAGCAGTTAGGAGCCAGCAGTCCTGTATTGCAAGAGGGATGTCCAACTGCTGGTTTAGGTCTTGATCCCACAGGGATTCCTGAGGGATTATGTCTAAACCGGCAGTCAGACATCCCCTGGGGGATCCTGGATTGTGAGAGGATGCAAGCTGGGCTGAGGGACCTCCCCCATGCACGAATTTCATGCACCAGGCCTCTAGTCTATATATATAAAAGCCCAGTGACCGGAACAGCAGACCAGAATGACCAGAACAATCTGTGGCTATGACACACACTGTGGCAGCCAACTAGCCTGATCTGGTCCCCTATAGGCCCCAACACCCCAATTGGGAACCTCCCATAATCCCCCGCCCCCACCGGCCTGGCCCAATAGGCTCCCATTGGGGTGGGCCAGCTGGCTTCCACCAGTGCACAAATTCATGTACCAGGCCTCCAATATAGTACATAAAAGACTTCCTCAGGAGTTTTCATGGTAAATTCCAGAAGTATATCTGTAACTTAATCCTTAATTCATGACACCGGACTTGGATCCTTGCTGAAATTTGAACACACTTTGACCAAGGCTTATTAGTGACCAAGGCTTATTAAGATGAAAGTTAACTCCATTCATTATGAACAAACCAACAAAAACTCATTAGAATTTATTTGGACAGGTCTTAGTTGCCTTGAATTCAGGCATAAATATATCCTTGTGTCTTACAGATGCATTTGCCATAATTTCCTTCCACCAATATAAATCTATCTCCTTCCATTCAAAAATGTTTCCTTTATTTTTAATAAGTCAAATTTTTAAAATGAAAATTTCTGTAAACACCTAATCAGGAGATATCTCATACTTTGGATGTAAAAATGTCTCAGCAATAAGGAAATAGACTGCCTTCTGGTCATCTATCTTTCTATTAATATGCCTACAGGTTTGGCTTGGTACTTGGGTACAGGATGACTCTACTGGTGTTATCACAGACGTTCATCTCTATTACACACGTCTCTCTTTTCATCCCCTGGACTGTAGACGTTAGTGCATGGTGAGTGTATATCTACATTCTCAGGAATTACTTTGCATTTGGAAATGCTCTTATTTTGTAAGATAATACACATAAATAAAGATTTGCTTCAACAATAATTCTGTTTCTGTGTCTGTTCTGAATTATCATTCTTATTCTATC